CCCCTCCCCCACCTGGTTGGCCTCCATCCACCTGGCCGCCTCCTGCACGTGATGGAATTCCACGAAGGCGAATCCGCGGCTCTGACCTGGAACGGGCCACGGGGAGGGGGGGGGCACCCATGGGTGCTCTGGGACCTCCCCTGGGGTGGGCAGAATACCTGGGGACGCGCTGGGGTGGGGGCAGGACACCCATGGGTGGCGCTGGAACCCCCGGGGGACCCCCCAAGGTGAAGCCTATGGGTGCTCCTGGTGCCCCCTCTGGAGTCTGGGTGCCCCTCGAGGTGGGCGCAGCACCCCTGGGTGCTCCTGGGGACGGGTCTGGGGAAGGGTCTGGCACCCCTGGGTGCCCCCAAAGCTGGGCTCAGCACCCCTGGGTGCTCCTGGGGATGGGTCTGGCACCTCTGGGTGCCCCTTAGGCTGAAGATGGGGACAGGTCTGGTGTCCTTGGCTTTGGATCTGGCACCCCTGGGTGCCCCCAAAGCCAGGCGTGGCACCCCTGGGTGCCCCTAAAATGGGATGAACAGCCCTGGGTGCTCCTAAAAAAAAGGACAAGCACCCCTGGGTGCTCCTGAGGAGATAAAAAAGCACCTCTGGGTGATGCCTAAGGACAAGAGTGGCACCCCTGGGTGCCCCTAAAATGGGATGAACAGCCCTGGGTGCCCCCTGAGTCTGGTGCAGCACCCCTGGGTGCTCCTGAGAAGGGGACAAGCACCCCTGGGTGCCCCTAAAGAGGAAACTGACACCCCTGGGTGCCCCTAGGGAGGGGATCAGCACCCCTGGGTGCTCCTGAGGAAGAGACAAACACCTCTGGGTGCCCCTAATGATGACATTGGCACCCCCGGGTGCCCCAAAGAAGGGCATGAGCACCCCTGGGTGCCCCTATGGAACGGACGAGCACCCCTGGGTGCCCCCCAAGTCTGGTGCAGCACCCCTGGGTGCCCCTAGAGATGAGACTGGCACCCCTGGGTGCCCCTAGGGAGGGGACAAGAAGCCCTGGGTGTTCCTAAAGACATGATGAGCACCCCTGGGTGCTCCCTAAAGATGAACCTGGCACCCCTGGGTGCCCCTGGGGAAATGATGAGCACCCCTGGGTGCTCCTGCGGGGGGAACAGACACTCCTGGGTGCTCCTGGAGAGGGGACAGACACCCCTGGGTGTCCCTAGGGAGGGGACAGGCACCCCTGGGTGCCCCTGGGGAATGGTACCAGCACCCCTGGGTGCCCCTGGCAATGGGACCAGCACCCCTGGGTGCCCCCTAAGCCTGGCAGATACATCCCTGCCTGCCCCAGTGGAGGGGACCAGCACCCCTGGGTGCCCCCAGTTCCAGCACAGCACCCCTGGGTGCTCCTCGGAAGGGACTGGCACCTCTGGGTGCCCCTAAGGGTCGCATCAGCACCCCTGGGTGTCTTCAGGAAGAGAACAGACACCCCTGGCTGTCTCTGAGGAATGTGAGCAGCACCCCTGGGTGCTCCTAGAGATGACACTGGCACCCCTGGGTGCCCCTCGGGAGAGGATCAGCACCCCTGGGTGCTCCTAGAAAGGGGACAGGCACCCCTGGGTGCCCCTGGGGATGGGACCAGCACCCCTGGGTGCTCCTAGCGAGGGGACAGGCACCCCTGGGTGCCCCTGGGGATGGGACCAGCACCCCTGGGTGCTCCTGAGAAGAAGACAGGCACCCCTGGGTGCCCCTAAAAAGAATATCAGCACCCCTGGGTGCCCCTAGAAATGGGACCAGCAGCCCTGGTACCCTCTGAGGTCCAGCACAGCACCTCTGGGTGCCCCCTAAACCTGCCAAAAGCACCCCTGGGTGCTCCTAAAGATGAGACGGACACCCCTGGGTGCCCCTAAAGATGGAACCAGAACCTGTGTGAGGTCATTGGAAGGGACAGACACCCCCAGGGAGGGGACAGGCACCCCTGGGTGCCCCTAGGGAGGGGACAGGCACCCCTGGGAGCCCCCTAAGCCTGGCAAAAGCACCCCTGGGTGCCCCTAGAACTGGGACCAGCACCCCTGGGTGCCCCCTGGCATGGGCAGGGATCCTCCCCCTCCAAGGGACCCGGATGTCAGGGTGCCCCCACCCTAAAGAGAGCCCAGGTGTGAGCAGGGGGGGCTCAGGTGAGCGGGGGGGGGCTCAGGTGAGCACGGGGGTCTCAGGTGAGACTCACCTGAGGATTTGTTGCGCATCAGCCGCACCTCACGGGGCTGCACCCCCTGCGCCTGCAGCTGCGCCCGGATCTGGGGGGACACGGGGACATGGGGACAAGGTGACACGTCACCTGGGACATGGGGACACGGGGACACGGGGACATGGAGACACGTCACCTGGGACATGACACAGGGACACGGTGACACGTCACCGTCACCTGGGACATGGGACAGTGCCTGGAGGGGACATGGGGCCATCATGGCAGGGGGCGGGGCCACAGGAAAGAGGGGCGGAGCCTGGTGAAAGGGGCGTGGTCAGCCCAAATGGGCGGGGCCATCATGGCAGAGGGCGGGGCCAGCATGGAGGGGCGTGGGCTGGTGAAAGGGGCGGGGCCAGATAGGAGGGGCGTGGTCTGGTGAAAGGGGCGGGGCCATAGGAAACAGGGGCGGGGCCTGGTGAAAGGGGCGTGGTCATGCCAAATGGGCGGGACCAGCCCGAGGGGCGTGGCCTGGTAAAAGGGGCGTGTCCAATCCTGAGGGGCGGGGGCTGGAAAAAGGGGCGGGGCCTGGCGAAAGGGGCGTGGCTAGCCCCGAGGGGCGGGGTCTGGCGAAAGGGGCGGGGCTCACGTCGTTCTCGGTGGCCGCCTGCGGCAGCATGCGCAGCATGACGATGGTGCTGGCCCGCGGCTCCTCCTCGGCGCCCTCCCGGTAATCCTGGTCCCGGTAATCGCCGTCGGCGCCGAACGGCAGCGCCGGCGGCTCCCGGGGAGGCTCCCGCGCCGGCTCCCGCTTCCGCGGCGGCTCCGTGGTCTCGTAGGACGCCTGGCACAGGGGAGGGAGGGCGATGGTGAGAGCCCTGCTCACTGGAAATTTCGCTTTTTCTGTACTAATAAACACTTAGTTAAAGCTCTTTTCACTGAATGATTCACTTTTTTTGTATTAACAAATACTAACTCCCAAAAACACAGTGTCTAATCTAAACCTGTAAAACAAACTACCATTACTAAATAGTAAAGTTAAAATTATATACGTAAAACTTAAATAAAACTCTGCAATATAGCACCGCAAAAACCTTTACCTTAACTGTTTTAAAATACAG